GTAATAAAATTCTTCGTTGTTATTGTAATTCAATTATTTTTTGAAACAATTACATTTTTTTTTATAAAATTTAATTATTTTCATTAGAATTTTAATAATATTCTCGCAAAGAATTAATTATTCTTAAAAATTTTAACAATTTTGAATTCTTTATAAAAATTTAATGATTTTCATAAATGGTAGAATTCTTCTCAGAAATTCAATTATTTTCATAAATTTTTTTGAAAAAATTCAATTATTTTTACAAATAATAAAAATCTTTAACGACTTTCAATTATTTTGAAAAATTTTCATTAATTTTTTCGATTAAATTCAATTATTTTTATAAATAATTACAAAGATTTTGTTAAAATTCTTTATAATAATTCAATTATTTTCATAATAAATAAAAATCTTCACAAACTTTCAATTATTTTAAAAAACTTTCATTATTTTTTTCGAAAAATTTCAATTATTTTTATAAATAATAAAAATTTTTCGCAGAAAGTTAATTATTTTCAATACAATTTTAATAGATTTTATTTCTATTTATTTTTGTCCTATTTTAATTCATTATTATTTTGCTATTTTATTTATATTTGTATTGATTTGATAGCAAGTAATTTAATTTAAGAAATAAACTTTTAAAAAATTTAGAAATTTTATTCATTTAAATTTTTTTGATTTACATTGTTAAAATTGGTAAAAAGAAAAAATTCGGTAAATTTCATAAAATGTTTTTATTTGTCGATGTCATGGTAATTAGTTGCAGTGTAAATTTAAAAGAAAAAAAAACACATGACCAAAATTAGTGGTGTAGGCAACTTTGTGAGAAGGGTCCAGCGAAAAGTGGAAAGTATGGGGAAAAAAAAGAAAAAAAAAGGGGTTGAACCGTCCAATTAGTTCGGCGCGCTTAGCTATGTAACTACTTAATTATTTTGAATTATAAAGCAATGTAGTAGAAAGGGAAAAAAGAGAGACTGGAGATCCCTGGGTACCAACTCTAGTCTGATTGGTAACATCCTGATTAACAGACCGTTCGACCCAAACGAATAGGTTCGACATTATTTATTGAAACAAAACATTTATGTCCCTTAAATATAAATATAATTAGCGCGAAAAAAAAAATTTAATTTTCTAATGAGCAAACGAAAATAAATTCTAATAATTACTTTCACATTTTCTCCTTAATTTTCATAGATTTATTTATTTAATTATTTACGGCCATTGAAGAAGATTCATTTTTTTTATTTTTCTCAATTTTCTCTTCATCTTTCAAATTTTGTGAAAAATTATTCATTCGAATTTTATTTACCGCAGAAATTTTCATTTATCTGCATTTTTTTTTATTCCTCTATCTAATTTAGAAAAAATTTCAATTACTGAAAATTTTGCCAAAGGGAAAATTTGAGAAAATTAAATTTCGAATAAATGGAAATTTTGACGAAGAGAAATTCAGGGGAATAAAATTTTGAGAGAATAAAAATTTAGTTACACAAAATTCCGAGGGTATAGAAATTTTTGGTAAAAAAAATTTTGTGCCTACTTTTTGGAAAATTAAATTCGAATGTTAAAGTATAAAATCGATATAGAATTACAAAGTGAGTAAAAAAAAATTATAATTTGTGAATTAAAAACGGGAGAAAAATTTGTAAAATTTCTCGAGTTTTATGCGATAGACATCGATGTTAATTAAATAACTTTATAACGATACTCTGATAAATTCACTCACTTCATTAACGAACTTAATAATCTGTTTATATTAAACCGCAGCATAGGGCTTTTGAATACTTAATATTAAATTATAATTCAATTATAAAGTTCTTACCACGTTGAGAGTTTTGAAATTATTATCCGATGATCAAAGTTCATAAATTAGTATTTAAATAGGAATTTCAGTTTTTGAGTTCTTTTGATCTTTCGTCTCCCCGTAACCACTCATTAAGCATCAGGTAAATTATCAAGTTAGAAGAGACGTTAAAATTTTGTTTATATTCTATTTGTAGAGAAAACATTGTTCGTACCTTGCCAATTAGAATTTAAGAAAAATTTATTTGAAAAATAGATTTAATTGAGTTGTTTGATTTTTATAGGTGGCATGGTTGGTTGGTTGGTTTGGTTGGTTTGAATCTAATTTATTGACCAAGACAATAAGCGAGTCAAATGGCAGGGCATACGACTTTAATTCCGTTTTGCGGCAGACGTTGTTCACAGCCGCCTCTGTTCAGAGTCTAATTGGTCCGCAACTTTGAAAGCGCGGTCCGTTTTCATTGAAAGTTACTTCTGGTCTTTCGCTTTCTGCCCCTCGTCTTTCCTTATCCTCCCTCTTGCACACATTCAATCTTGGCTCAAATATCAGGCAAAATAAAGTTTTAAATTTTCATCTTTTTACTTTTGGTTTGACAACAATTTTATAGAAGAAAATTAACAATTAATGAACACTCAATTTAATTTAATTAAAAAGGAAAACATTAATTTTCACTTTTAAATCAGAAATTACTTTAGAAAAAAAAAATTGTCTTTAAGTCTACTTGACTGTTTGAATTTGTGATTACAACATTTTTTTTTCTTACGTATACAGATAAAATATTTTTTTATTCTTTATTTATTTATTCAATCTTTAAAGGGCTAGAGGTCATTTAGTAAATGTATTGAACAGCAAAATTATTATCAAAGTATAAAAAATAACAGTAAAATATTACGCACTGATTGACATTTTAATTTTCAAAATTATTAATTGATCGCAATAAAGTTACTAATTTCAAAAAAGGAATTAAACGAAAATTTTAATAAATTATTCAAAAGAACTAATAACAAATTAAAATAAAATATGATTTGCTTTTATACAGAAATTCTATTTTTGATAAATAATTTCATGTAAAATAAGTAATTTGTATTTAATCAAAAAACGCCTTTTTCGATTTATATTAAAAAATGCAAGTTTTCGACTTTTTTACCAAACTGGTACAAAATGCAACTTATTTAGATTTTTATAGCAATTTCAGAATTTTTTTCATTAAAATTATTAAAAATCAAATTTTGAAGAATTTTAATTGAAAATTTTGATAATAATTGAATTCTAAAAAAATTAATTTAAAATCTTCAAATGAAAATTTAAACATGAAAATTGAATTTAAATAAAATGAGAAAACGAATATTTATAAAAATTTGGTTCAAATAATTATATTCAAATATTTTTTAAAACAGCGATTTTTAGAACACTCACTATAATTTTTTTCTTTAAAATTATTAGAAATCAAGTTTTAAAGAATTTTAATTGGAAATTTTGAAAATAATTGAATTCTCACAAAATTTAATTTAAAATCTTCAAATGAAAATTTGAACATGAAAATTGAATTAAAATAAAATGAGAAGACGAAAATTCATAAAAATTTGGTTCAAATAATTATAATTGAAAATTTTTTTAAACAGTAATTTTTAGAACTCTTTTACTACAATTTTTTTCTTGAAAATTATTAGAAATCAAGTTTTGAAGAATTTTAATTGCAAATTATGAATGTAATTGAATTCTCAAAAATTTTAATTGAAAATCTTCAAATGAAAATTTTAAAATGAAAATAAATGAAAATTATATTCAAAAATTTATATTAAAATAGTTTATTAAAAAAGTAATTCTTTCAATTTTTTCTGTTATAATTTTTTAAAATTTGAATGTTTTTAATATTCTAAATGACATATTTCAAAAAAATTAAATATCTACACAAAATTATTACTTCAAAATAATTTTAAAAATCTAATTTCTTAGAATTATGATTAAAGTTTTAAAGAGAATGTGGTTTTCAAAATTTTTAATTTAACTTCTTCGAAATATTGATTAGTTCTTTAAATTTTCCAAAAATTTATTTAAGAAGTTCAATTATTTTTGAAAAATTATTTTAAAATATTTTCAAAATAATAATTCTTAGAATTTTCTTATCATTTTATTATTAATTTATTTCTTGTCATAATTTTGAAAAATTTAATTAATAAAAAAAAATAAATTACAATTTTTTAGACTTATTATTAAAACGTTTTTATTTTGTATTTGTATTTTCATATTTGTAATTGAAATTCATAAGAAACTTGATTATTTTTCAATAATTTCCAAAAACCCTTATGAGAAATTCAATTATTTGCAATAATTATATTATAACATAGGTATTTATAAATAGAACTAATTTTTAGAATTTTTTATGAAATTTTTTTTATTTTAATTATTTTTAATATTTGTGGTTACATATTTTTAGTAATTCACCTGAATAACTAAAAAAACTAAAAGTGACAGTTACAATTTTAATAAAAAATTGTTTTTTTTTTATTTAATTAATTGGATTTTTGAAGAATTTTCAGAAAATTATTTAAAATAATTTATGTCAAGAAGAACTTTAGTTACAAATTCTAGAAAATAATTAAAATCTGGAAGTGTGATAGTTGAAATTTTCAGAAATAATTAAATTTCATATGGTTTGAAATTTATATTTTATAAATTTTAATTCCTGTGAAAAAATAAATAACAATTTAAATGTTTATTTAACAGAATTATTAAAGTTTTGAAAATTGAAAAATAAATTTAAATTTAGATAAACTGTATTTGAGCCAATAGTTAAAAATAATAAAATTAATTGTTATTCGAAAGAAAAGAAAGTGACGAATTAAATTCAATAAGATTTTAATCGATGAGAGTTTTCAAAATAAAAAATTCATTAAAATTTTAGTGAATTAAAAATGTTAAGAAACTACAGTTTTGATTAAATATATTTGAAAAAATAACAAAATAGTTGATATAGATGAAAATTAACATGGCAAAAGAAAAAAGAAGACGAAAAAATGTAAAAAGGTTTGCAAACCCTGACAAATTTGTATGAAAAATAAAAAAAAAATGTTGCATTTAAAATTTTGTAATTGCAATTTGTAAATTAGAAATTTCCTTGAGAGTTGTCACACTAATGAAAATAGTTGTCGAAATGTTGAGTAATATAAATCAAGTCAAATTACATAGTCTAATCATTTTGAAATTTCAGGTTCGCTGGACTCGTATTTCAAATGAGATATCACCCGAAAGTTTCACTCTGAGATTTCATCCAGAATCTCTCTCTTCACGCATTTCTGAGTTTCAAGTTGTCGTCTTTCACTTTTGGTGCGACAATGATTCAACGATGGAACTTTTGGCCTTCGCTTGCACCAAGAAATTCTCACTGTAACTTTTCAAAAAGCACTCTTCCAAGACTTTTGACAATCATCCTCTAACCGATGAGATAGCAGACCGACACGATAGATAAACACAAAAGGAGACTTGAAAGAGAGAGAGAGAGAGAGAGAGAGAGAAGCGACAAAAGGAGAATTTAATGTGAGTAAGAAACCCGTGAAAAACAACACTTTTTACCCTCTACCCCCTCCTTCCTTTACTCTCTTCTCTCTTACCATTTTTCTTTCCTAAAAGCAATAACCCCAGCTGACGATAACTTCTGGCGAAAGTAATATTAAAAAATTAAGTATAAAGATTTAAGAAAAGAGAGGAATAACATTTTTTTTAATAATTCATTAAAAAAAGGAGAAAAATAAATTGCGAAGAAGGAAAATATTTTTGCTACCATTTTGATATCAGAAATTTTTCTGAATCCACTTTTAGTTTGAACAAACGTTATACACATTGGATCTATATTGTATTATTTTTATTTCGGCTTCTTGATTTCCGTTTTCCTTTTCTCGTATTGCTCCTCGAGAGTCTCATCGTTTCACTGTTTGTCGAAAAACTTAATCGAAATTTATCGCTTTTGTATATGTGTTCAATATATTTTTCGAATTGCTCTGATTAATATTTTTACGATCCAGAAACGCGGTTCTAAATTTATTATTATTTAAATTATAAAAATTTTTTTTTTAAATATCAACTTCATTTTTTTAATAATTTCAGATTCAAAGTTTGAAAAAATTCACAAACTTATTAACTTGATAATTCTAATTTATTATTTTCGAAAACTTTAGTGAAATTCTTCGTGAGAATTCAAACACTTTTATAAATAACAAAATACTTTACAGAACGTCAATTATTTTTAAAGATTTTAATATATTCCTCGTAGAAATTCAATTATTTTCAGAAGCAATTTGAAAATAATTCTTCGAAAGAATTTAATAGTATTTAAAATTTTTTAACAAAATTGATCAAAATAATGATTTAATATTATTTTCAATACAATTTTAATTAAATTCCTCGAATGAATTTAAATTTTAATAAAAATCTTCCAAACAATTCAAATGGTTTCAAAAATAATAATAAAAATTTCTTCAAAGAATTTAATTATTTTTGTAAAAAATAAAATTCTTCTCAGCAATTAAATTTCTGTCAAAAATTTTAATAAAAATCTTCGAAATAATTCAATTATTTTCATAAAGAATAAAGTGATTTGCAGGAATTCAATTATTTTTGTAAATAATAAAATTCCTTAAAAGAATTCAATTTTTCAATAACTTCAAATTCAAAATTAAAAAGATTCACTTATTAACTAATTATCTAATTATTATTTGCAAAACTTTTTAATAAAATTCTTTGGAAAAATTAAATTACCTATTTAAAACTGTTTTAATAATATTATTTGAAGGAATTCAATTGTTTCCAACAATTTTGACAAAATTCTTTATAAGAATTGAATTTGTATTTTTAACACAGAAATTTTAATTAAATTCCTCGAAAAAATTTTAATAAAATTATTCCGAACAATTAAAGGATTAAAGTAATTAAAAAAATTATAATAACATTTATCGATAGAATTTAATTATTTTCGTAAAAAATGAAATTCTTCGCAAGAATTCAATTTTTGACAAAAATTTTCAAGAAAAAACTTTTCGAATCAATTATATAAATCTCATAAATAATAAAATTATTTCAATTTAATTATTTTAAAAAAATGTCAACAAAATTCTTCAAAATAATTTAATTACTTTCAACCATTCTTGATAAAATTCCTTAAAATGATTTAATTATTTTTTATATTAATTAAATTAAATTTTTTTTTCTTAATTCAGTAGAAATTAATTTGAATATTAAATTCTAATTAAAAATCTTACCTTAAATAAAAAGTGGGACAGATTTTTGTTTTCTCGATCTAGAAAAACAATTAGAGAGCAATTTGAAAACTTAAAAAGAAAAAAAAAAGTGGAAGAAGAAGAAGAAGAGAGAACTAAATGAATGTAAGACGGAAAGTAAAAAGAATTGGATGCGTCAAGGGAATTTGAGAAAAGTTTTCCAACCTGCCGGTAATTCTCGTTAGAAACTTGATTCCTCTCTTCGTGAACAAAAATCCCCTTCCGTCGCTTTCGCCATAGAAGTGTCGAAAGTTGTTTCACTAATAAACAAACGCAATAGTTCTTCTCCTCTGACCACTTTCTTTTCTTTTTTTTTCCTTAAAAGAGGGAAGAAAACAAAAGGAGCTTTAGAAAAATTTATTTGCCTCAGGAAAATGTACAATATACAATTTGAATTTCAAAAGCGAGAGAAATTACTATCTCCCGGAAAATTTTCCAAAGATCGCGTATACAGATAAATATAAAACTTTTCTATTTTATAAGTTTTTAATCGACTTATAAACAATAAATGAGATCTATAAATTATTATAATCACAAATTTTATTCTTGAGGGAAAAGTTTTTGAAATTTTTTTCTTTGAGAAACGATTCTCTCTGTATAATGGTAATAATCTTGATATAGTTAATTGCGCTCAATGGGAACTATTCAAGTATTTCAGTTACGAACATGAAATAGGTATTATGGCCGAAACTAAAGCTATTGAATGAGTTTAAGTATTTCTATTAAATCAACATTCTGACAGGCAACGATTTAATGTAAGGGGGAAAAATTCTTTTCTTCAAAAAAGGCGTACAATTTAATAGAACATCAGTGGAAAAATATATATTTCATCACTGCTTTTCATTTTTTTTTTATTACTTTCACTTGCAAATGTTAGACGCTAAAATATTCAATTATTTATTATTATTATTATTATTATTATTATTATTATTATTATTATTATTATTATTATTATGCAAATTACAATATTTTTTTTAAATATCAACTTCAATTTTTGAATAATTGCAGATTCAAAATTTTACAAAAATGAACTTATTGACTAATTAATTATTATTATTTCTTATTTTCAAGAATTTTAATAAAACTCTTCACAAGAATTCAAATATTTCCAATAGAATTTCAATTTAATTTCTATTATTATTCTATTATTATTACTATTATTAATAATTCTATTATTTTTAAAATTTTCAATAAAATCCCTGACAAAAATTCAATTAATTCCATAAATAATAAAATTCTTCGCAAGAATTCAATTAGCTTCATAAATAATAAAATTAATCGTAGAAATTCAATTACTTTCTAAACAATATTAATAGAATTTCATTAAAGAATTCAATTACTTTCAATAGAATTTTAATAACATTTCTTGAACGAAATCATTTATTTTTCAAAATTTTAACAAAATTAATTACAAAAAGTCAATAAATTTCAAAGATTGCATAAAAACTTTGTCCATAGATTTTATTATTTTCATAAATAATAAACTCTTCTCAGGAATTCAATTATTTTTAAGAAATAATAAAATTCTTCTCAGAAATTCAATATTGCATATTTTGAATATTTTGACAAATTTATTTGTAAGAATTTAATTATTTTTAAATTTTTAAATTAATTAAACTCCTTGAAAGAATCTTCGCAAACATTCAATTGTTTTTATAAATAATAAAATTCTTCTGAGAAATTCAATTATTTTCAGAAATAATAAAATTCTTCACAGAAAATAATATTATTTTCAATACAATTTTTTTAAATCTTCTTTAAAGAATTTAATTAATTTTATTTAAATTCTTCCAATAAATTCAATTATTTTCAAAAATTTCAATAAAATTCTTCGGAAGAATTCAATATTACATATTTTGAATATTTTGACAAATTTATTTGTAAGAATTTAATTATTTTTAAATTTTTAAATTAATAAACTCCTTGAAAGAATCTTCGCAAACATTCAATTGTTTTTATAAATAATAAAATTCTTCTGAGAAATTCAATTATTTTCAGAAATAATAAAATTCTTCACAGAAAATAATATTATTTTTAAAATGATTTTATTAAAACTTCTCTAAAGAATCGAATTAATTTTATTTAAATTCTTCCAATAAATTCAATTATTTTCAAAAATTTCAATAAAATTTTTCGGAAGAATTTAATTACATATTTTGAATATTTTGATAAAATTTGTTTGAAAGAATTTAATTATTTTCAAATTTTCAATATAATTGTAATTTAAGTCCTCGAAAAAATCTTCGCAAAAATTAAATTATTTTTATAATATTGATAAAATTATTTTTCAAAGAAAATTAATTATTTTCAATATAATTTTAATAAAATTTATCGAAATTTAAATTATTTAAAAAAATGTATTAACTAATTAATTTATTGACTTATTGATTAATTTACTATTATTGTTTATTATTTTTAAACATTTGAATAAAATTCTATGATGCAATTCAATTCTATTAAAAAATTTTAACAAAATTCTTGGCTAGAATTCAAATATTTTCAATACAATTTTAATAAATTTTTTCAAAAAAAAATTTATTATTTTCAAACATTCTGTTAGAAACTTGAATCGTATTTGAAATAGATGATTTTAAATCTTTTCAAGTATTAAATTCAATTATAACTGAATAAATTTTAATTGAAATACTTTAAAAACTTTCAAAGCTTGATGCAAAAACTAAAAATTTTTAAAAGGGTTAACAACATTTTTTAAAATGTTAAATTCTTTTTAATTAAATTTCAGAAAGTTCTAAATGTTTGGCAATTTTTTAATTAATTATTTTCAAAAGAATAAAATAAAATTTTGAAAAATAATTTATTCTATTTATAATTTATAATTCTGATTATATTTTAAAAAAATTTAATTTTTTATGTAACTTTTCTTTTGTAACGCAAAAAGTAGAATATCTTCAATTGTGTTTTTTCGTAAAATTCACGTACTTATCAATTTTTAAATTATAATTCTTCAAATATTCCATTATTTTCAAAAACTTTAATAAAATTCTTGAAAAAATTCATTTATTTTCAGTAGAATTTTCTGAAATTTCAACTATTTGACAATTTGTCAACTAAATATGTTTAAAATTTCAAATATTTTTAAAAAATAAAATAAAATTTTTTCCAAAATTTTATTCTTTCATAGTTTCTGAATTCAGTTCGTTAATAATAAATATAAATTTAATTTAAACCTCAAAAATTTTTTAGAAATAAGTTTTGAAAGTTTCTGAAGTACTTTAATTGGAAATTTTTAAGTTATAATTACTTTTAGAAAGATTTAAAATCAAATTATTTTAAATAAATTTCGAGTTTCTAAGAATTTTATTTTGAAATGGAAAATACTAAAAAGAAAAATTGTTTCTTAAAATTTTTAATTTAATCGTATGAAGAGAAGAGAATTTTTGAAAATAATTCATTAAAAATTTGCCAAACGATTGGAATTTTCTGAAATTTTATTTTAAAAGTTTAAAAAAATTATTTTAATACATTTTTGTCACAAAACTTTTGTTGTAACATTATTTTTTAATGAAATCTTTTTGTTTTTAGGTAAAGGAAAAAAAATACCTTTGGACGTGTTATAAAGATGAGAAAACATTAAGTTTGCTTAATCTATCGTGTGAAGAAAATTATCGGATCAACGGAGTGGATTATGGGTGAAAAATATCTAAGGTGCTGTGGTGTATCAAAGAGAGAGAGAGAGTCCCCTTTTTTTCCTTCCATCATGATGTCTCGAGGTAAGAATAAAGAATAAGTAGCGTACAGATTGGATTCACCTCCTTTTCTTCTTGAGATGGTTAAAGACAGGAAATTAGTTTGTGTTGAGGGTGATGCGATCTATATATAAATTTTATTGGGTTCATCTCTTCCACCGCGAACTACGTGATAGAGAACGAAAAGGGGGCGAGCTACAAATAAAAGAGATAAGGGGGCGAAGTATAAAATGAAAAAGAAAATAATATTTACACACAAAGAGACAAGAGAAAATTTTTTTTTCTCTCTATAAACGAAAATTGAATACAGACGAAATTAGCTGTGTTATTGGAAGAAAAGGTATTTCTATTCAATGGAAAATTGATTCGATGAGAAAGAAATGAAAATAATAAAATTAATATTAATTAAATTATGGGAAAACGAAATTAAGCGAATATTAATTTTTCTTTATTTTTATTCAAATTGAAATGATAAAAATAAAATAGCGAGGGGAAATTAAGAAGGAATAAAATTGGAAGAGTGGAAAAATTAATAATGATATTAATTTCAAGTAAAATAGGGGAAAATAAAATGAAAAATAATAGACAAAAAAATTAACAAACTTAGGGAAGAAAATTAGAAGAGATTGGAATTCATGATTAATATTAAAATCAGTGGAGAGTAATAAATTTCGTAATAGTAACAGATTATACATACATATATATATATGCGGGACATTAATTTCATTTGGTGTGTATGGCATTCGTGAAGATTAATTATCACTCTAAACCATTCACACGATTAGTGGAACATTCACGGAGTAATTCATAAACAAATATTAATAATTTTATAGTATTATTTACTAGAAAACTAAAGTTTCAGAATGTCTTGTACTTTTCTAATCATTTACTTTCGTTTTTTAATTAATTACTTTATTGTTTTATATTTATATTAATATAAAAAATAATTAAAAGAACTAATCTTTTTGAATCATTGAATTCTTGCGAAGAATTTTATTATTTAGAAAAATAATTTAATTATTCTAGAGAAAAATTTTATTTAAATTTTTAGACAATATTTAAATTCAATCTTAGAAATTTATTAAAATTTTTGAAATAATTCAATTAATTCAAGGAATTTTGTTAAAATATTGTAAATAATTCAATTTTCTACAAAATTTCAATTATCTTTATAAATAATAAAATTTTTCTTCAAAATTCAATTATTTAAAAAAAATTTAATAAAATTTTTTACAGGCATTCAATTATTTACAAAGTTTTTAATAAATTTCTTCGAAATAATTCAATTATTTTCATAAGTAATAAAACTTATCGCAGAATTTCAATTCTTTTTAATACTATGTTAATCAAATTCCTCGAAAAATGTAATGATTATTAAAAATTTTTATTAAAATTCGTTAAAAGAAATCAATTATTTTAAAATTTATTGATAAAATTCTTTATAAGATGTCAGTTTTAAGAAACATTTAAATATTCAATAAATTATTTATTTTTGTATTTAAATATTTGAATTCTCGTAGAATTTCTAATGAAAATTGATTTAAAAGTGAATTTACAGTTAAAATTTTATTTAATAATTTTTCTGTAGAATTCGGCAGAATTTATTTTTTGGATATTATTTCAAGTTTTTATTTTCTTATATTAAATTAATGAATTTCCGAATAATAATAATAATAATCGAAATTTTATAAAATTCAATAATTGTAAACAACTGGATTTGAAAATTCTTAATGAACTTTTTAAAAAATTATTAAAAATAATTGATTTAAAGACGAATTTGAGTTAAAAATTCTTGAAAATATTAATTAAATTGAAAATAATTTTAAAGAAGTTACAGTAACAATATTCTTATAATATAAAATAATTATTTTATCTCTCGAACATCTATAATTATTATAACAAATGAAGAAATCGATCACTCCGAGTCTTCGACTCGGAGCAATCGATATCTTCATGTTTTATAATAAATATTTTTAAAGTTGTTTAATTTCAAAAAGGTTTGAATTTGAATGTTTTGAAAAATTTTAATTCCTATTGAAAAAATAATAATGATTAAATATTTATTTAAAAAAGAAGTTATTGATGTTTTCGAATAATTGTGCAATTAAAAAAATTCATTTATAAATAGAACATTTGTAATATGTAATAGAACATTTTTTTGATTATCTTATATTTTTTAGAGCGAATCAGAATATTCTTCCGGGTCAGGGAAAAAGTCCAAATTTTGTCTTGAAATCAGGGAAAAGTTAGGGAAAAACAAAATTAAATTTTTGTGGCCACCCTATTATAATAATTAGCAAATTGGTAGAATAATGTTTATAAAAAATGAAATATTCTATAAAATAAACATTATTGTAAATAATAATTTTGAAGAATAAGAATTTGTAGAAATTTAGAGTCGGTCACCTCTAAATTTTGAATAACTACAAAATCAAGGCAGATTTACAACAAAAAAAACAATAGCATTTGTATTAACAACTTGAATCGAGCGCATATTTGCTAAACGCTCCATTTACCATGTTTGGGCGAATGTCAGAGAGGGTTAACCGGAAACCCCTATTTCGTGTAGGTGTTTGAACACGTGTGTTATAGAGACAAGTATTCGTGAGAGACTTTATTGGTGAATCCACGTTAGTGTATTTACACCTATGAAGCACGTGCTATCGTTGAATTCGAGCTCCGGTGGCTCTGTACAGTAATTTACTAATTGACGATTGATTGAACAAGCTCAGCAATGGGTACCAACTCATCCACGATAGTGTCACATTGTCCTCAAATTGGAAATGTCTCAGGGTTTTCAATTTCAAAGTAAGGAGTTTGTCTTTCTTGGAATATTTCACCATTTCTCTTTGGATTTTTTCATTATTGTTACATTTCTTCTTTTAGGGCTTTTGATTTCACTGCGAAAGACTTTATCTCTTAATTAAATACTTTGCTCACTTAAGCAATATAGATTAATAATTAATTAATTAACTAATTCAAAAATTGATTTACAATAAATTCGAAACTTTTTGAAAATTCTCGTAAAGGAATAAAGTTTTTCTAAACAAATTTGTTTGTTTTGAAAATTAATTTTTGTGAGTTATTCTCATTTTTTTAATGTCAAAAAAAAACTAAAAAAAACTCGTTTTATTCACTTTACAAAATTGATAAAAATTCGATTCCATATTTTTTATTTTCCAAACTGTTTCCTGATTTTCATCAAAAATATAAACTTTTTTCTTATCCTGCTAATAAATTGAATTCCTGCTATGAATTTTATTATTCATGAAAGAATTTAAAATACATTTATAAAAAATAATTTAATTCTTGCAAAGAATTTTATAAAAATTTTTAAATAATTCATTTTTTTCGAAAAATTTTATGCAAATTCTAATTTAAATAATTGAATTGATGAAAATTTTTATTATTCATTAAAAGAATTGAATTCTTACGAAAATTCTTACAAACCGTTTTTTAAATAATTGAATTCTATTTGGAAATTTTATAAAAATAGTAGATATATTGAAAATCATCGAATTGCGAAAAGTTTTTAAAGATAATTAAATTTTACAAAGAATTCTATTAAAAAATTTGTCAATAATTGCGAATGTCTATGGGGAATTTTATTAAATTTTTTTGAAAATAATTGAATTCCTAAAAACATTTTATTATTTATGAAAATAATTGAATTCTTGCGCGATTTATTAGAATTTTTTAAAATAATGAAATTTTCAAGAAGAAATTTATTACTTTTAAAAATAATTGAATTATTGCGATGAATATTGTTATTTATGAAAATAATTGAATTTTGAAAAGAATTTTATTAAAAAACCTCAAAATAATTGAATTTTCGGCAGTAATTTTCTTATTTATCGACATAATTGAATTCTTTCGAAAAATAATTTGTGTAAATTTTTGAATTCTTAGAAAAAATTAAATTAAAATTTAAAAAATAATTGAATTATTTCAAAAAAATTTAATTAAAATTGTATTTAAAACAATTAATTTCTTTCGAATAATTTTATTAAACTTTTGGAAATAATTATTCAATCCTTCCAAAAAATATTTAAAATAAATTTTTTTTAATTTAATTTTTCGAGGAATTGAAATTAAGTTTTTAAGAATAATTACATTTTTGAGCAATTCCTGTAAAATTGTATTAAGAATAATTGAAATCCTGCTATAAATTTTATTATTTATGAAAATAATTGAATAGTTGCTAAGAATTTTATTATAATTCTCAAAAATAATTGAATTACAGAAAAGAATTTTATTATTTTTGAAAATAATTGAATTATTGCGGAAAAGTTTATTAAAATGTTTAAAAAGAATTGAATTTCTGTGAAAATTTTTATTATTTTTGAAAGTAATTGAATTTTTCATAAGAATTTTATGAACATTGTTTTAAATAATTATTTTTTTCGAAATATAATAAATATTATGAAAATTTTATTAGTTTAAATAATTGAATTCTTGTGGAAAACTTTATTTGTGAAAATAAATTTTTCGATTATTAATTTAAAATAGTTTTAAAAATAGGTAATAATTATTAAAATATTTATTATTATCGTTTTCAAAAATTTTAATAAAATTCTTCGTAAGAATTTAATTGTTTTCAAAAATTTGAATAAAATTTGTTTATAAAATTTTAATTATTTTAATTTAATTTAATTTAATTTCAATTTTTAATTTTTATTAAATTCCTCAAAAAATGGAATTTGCTTCAAAAGGTTAATTAAAAGTTCTCGAAAGAATTCAAATAAAATAAAATAAAAAAATAATAATAATAATAATAATAATAATAATAATAAGAATAAAATTCTTTGTGGAAATTCATTTATTTTTTTTGTACGACTTTTTTTTGTAGAAAATGAATTACTTTTAATAAAATTTTATTGAAGTTTTGCTAAAAAATTCAATTATTTTTAATAACTTTATTTTAATTTTTCTCATAAATTCAGTTATTTGCAATACAATATTTACTAAATTCCTCAAAAAAAAACTTAATTGTTTTTCAAAATTTTTGACAATAAAAATAGAAT